TGGCGTCTAAAGTGTCTCGCGCTTTTACGTCGGTAGTAGCTCGTTTCTCTGGGCGCGTATGAAGTTTGTGTTCTCTCAGCATGCAAATGGTCCAACAGACCTCGTTTCTCGCGTCGCCAGCCCGTGTCGCACTCTTATCTTTCTGCACGGCACATTTGGCACAGCAAAAATGTGTGCCAACTCCTCCACAATTGTGACAGGGCTCTATAACATTCATAAATACTTGCTCGGAGCAACGCTGGCTACGCGTGGATCTCCGGCATGCTAGACTTCATGGATCATCTCTACTTAAACAACGGACTCGCTCTCCGGTCATCAGATCATCATATCGTGTGCCTGGACTGAGGCGAAGGTTTGTGATCGTGAGCTGCACGGCACCATCAGACACCGAGCCACACACCCAACACTGCACTCACCTTTCCTCGCAGATATGCTCCTCCACAAATGCTGGGGGGCCTCCACGATCTCCTTCCCCACATCCCCCAACGCAACCGCCGCGCCATGCAACAGAGACCCGCCAACGACCAACGGCGCCTCGAGGCACAGCCCGATCCCATACAACAGCGGATGGGCGAGCTGCTCCCTTTCCTCGACGGTCGCGCGCTCCCACTCGGCCGCGTCGCGGTACATCTTGGCGCGCACGCGGGGGTCGGGGTGGCAGTCGGCGGCGGCGCGGATGAAGACGGGGATGTTGTCTTCGGCTTCTTCCATGCGCTCGCGGTTGCCGTCCGTGCGGGCCCGCCGGAAGACCTGTATCTCGCTCTGGAGGTTCACGAGGGCGACGCGCCAGTGCAGCTCGCGCTCCCTGTCTTCGTCGTGAACCGGGGGCTCACTTGGTTCTCCGTGTCCATGCTCCTGTCCCTGTTCCCGTCCCTGCTCATGTGCATGGATGTTCTGTGCGTCCTGATCCGCCACACGCGCATTAGATGCCGACGCCGTGTGGCCGCCGCAGCCGGCGGCGTGCACCTCCGGCTGCTGGTGATGGTGGTGGTTCGCGCCGCCAGCGATCTGTTTTCCGTTTACAGAGGTCATGCCGGGTCATCTGCGAGTGATGCAGGCTGCAAAGTGGGCGAACTGAATGGTGTGGTGAGCATGTGCTGCGTCGTGTGGGGCAGGGGTAGATAAGTCCGATGGAAGGCGCGGGTTCTTGGCCTGAACTTGAGCTTTGCTGCTGCTCAACGCTGCGTCCGCTGGGCATCCGATCACGTCAACCGACTCTTTGGGACGCCGGATTCGCGTTAAGCGATGACGTATATAGCGCACTGCGCGATCTGTAGAAACCACGTGTGCTACAAGGGACTTGGAGAACGTGAGCCAGCTACAAGTCGCAGCTTCCCATTCACCATTGCACACGGAAGCAATCCAACGTTAACACAACCTGAAGGCCGCGGATCGGCGGGAACATATGACGTCATAAAGACTCGGAGGGAGGATGGGAGAAGGCTCGAGTGCTGGACAAATAGCTAAGTCACCTGCTGACCCATCTTCCCTGCTTCGCTCTATTGCGCATCGAAAACACCAAAGTTCGCTCGCACAGCACGCTCGACATGTTCCGCGCTTCGACGAACAGGCTCGCTCTAGGGCGCGCACTGATTGGTCGGCAGTGGCCAGGCCGCGGCCCCTATCCCGTATCGGTGCGCGGCCCGCAGCCCTCGTTCAGGGACTATCATATATCTTGCCCCTCCTCCGCTGCTCCTGCCCACCCGCCCTCCTACACCAACAAACTCTCCACACACAGAATGCCTAACCCCAAAGGCGTCACCGAGAAGCTTTTCCAGTCGCCCTCCAAGTACATCCAGGGGCCCTCTGCCATCCAGAACGCCGGAAAGTACCTCGCGTCCTTCGGGAAAGCGCCACTCTTGGTCTCCGATGAGCTCGTCTTCGGGATCGGTGCGTGCCGCGAGTCTCGTTCTCTTCCCAGCTGATTTCGTGCAGCCGGAAAGGAGCTCACGGACGCGCTCACCAACGCGGGCTTCAAAGTAACGCGCGGCATCTTTGGCGGCGAAGCCTCCAAAGTCGAGATCGGCCGCCTCGGGACGCTCGCCAAGGAGAACTCGGTCGACTTCATCGTCGCCCTCGGCGGCGGCAAGACCATCGACAGCGCCAAGGCGATCGCGGACGACCTCGGGCTCCAGGTCGCCGTGCTGCCCAGCACCGCGTCGACGGACGCGCCGTGCTCCGCGCTCTCCGTCATCTACCGCCCGAACGGCGAGTTTGAGAACTACCGCTTCTACTCGAACAACCCCTCCGTCGTGCTCGTCGACACGAGCGTCGTGGTCAAGGCGCCCGCGCGCTTCCTCGCGTCGGGGATCGGCGACGCGCTCGCGACGAACCTCGAGGCCAAGTCGGCGCGGAACAGCCCGAATTTTGGGGGGGGACTCCCGACGGAGGTGTCGGCTGCGATTGGCGCCAAGTGCGAGGAGCTGCTGTTCAAGTATGGACGGCAGGCGGTGGAGGCGAATAAGGCCAAGGCGGTGACGCCGGCGTTTGAGGCGGTTGTGGAGGCGAATACGTTGTTGTCCGGGCTTGGGTTCGAGTCGGGGGGACTTGCTGCTGCGCATGCTGTGAGTGGGATGTGTCCTTCGCGGGTGTTTTTCATATCTCAATGACGCGGATTGTAGATACATAATGGATTGACGGCCATCGACAACCATAAGCTGCACACGATGATGCACGGCGAGAAAGGCAAGTCACGTACCTTGGTCTTCCCGTCCGCAGCGCACTGACATCCCTCCTCCCCTTGCAGTCGCCTTCGGCACGGTCTGCCAGCTGATCCTCGACGGTGCCCCAGCATCCGAACTGGACCGGTACCTCTCGCTGATGACGGACGTCGGGCTGCCGACGACGCTCGCGGACCTGGGGATCGGGCAGGCGACGGACGAGGAGCTGCGGCGCGTGGCGGCGCTTGCGTGTGCGCCGAACGAGACGATTTGGAATATGGAGAGGGTGGTTACGGAGGAGATCGTGTTTCATGCGATCAAGGGCGCGGATGCGGCGGGGAGGGATTATAAGGTTAGGAGGGGGATCGCGTGATGCGCGTCGCGCAGTAGATTTTTGTTGTGCAGTAGCATGCGGTCATGAAGGTATCTTTGGATGTGTTCAGGCCCATTTTCTACACGAAGAGAGTTGTTGGGTCGCGGTTAGGAACTGGGTAGAGATCGCCAGAGTGAAATCCGCGACGCCGTCTTGTGCACGCAGACCCCCTAGTACGACATCGACGACTGTCGCATACATATGTGACAAGCGTCTCTCTGCCTCCTCGTCTCACGGCATGATGATCGATGAAAGTTGTGGCCTGGTCACGGTAGCGCCCGTTCCTCGCACTAGGAAGGTTTGCTTACTAAGCAGAGGGACGAACTCAGGAGACGCGTCGCGTACATCGTATCTTACCTCCTCATTCGCTCGTCTTCTTGTGTCTCACTTGCTTTCGCTGGCGCTACCTTCGTCGGGTGATCTTAAAGCTCTTCCTAGCTCATCGACGCGGCCCGGTCGTGTATACGCGTGCACGGAGGACCTGCGCGGGCGCGCCAGCTCTGTGTCAACTTGCTGCACCGCACTGGCGCTGATCATGATTGGGCTCTTATCCAGACCTTCTCGGCCCCCCCTCTCACGGGCTCTTCCCTACTGCGGTACAGAGTGGTGGGAGCGAGGGAAGAGGTCTGGGTACGAGGTCGTTGATCGAACGGTTCCCTGATGGGGGTGGTGGACGGTCAGTCGAGGCGGTGGAGGCGGGCAGACCGATGAACGTTGAGCGTGTGCGTGGAGAGAAGCACACGTCATGTCTTCCTCTTACGAGAGCCGTCTCCGTGCGTTCACGCCAGAACCCATGCTCTGAGCGTGGTGGTGGATGCTGGAGCGCGAGATCGCCACCACGCGCGATGCGATCGGAAACTCGACATTGCAGACTTGTACAGGTGCCGTCGTCACGTCCAGAAGCAGATCGTCGCAGGCGAACAACGGCAAGTGATGTTCGCTTTATCGACGTTAGATTGCCGTCGAGTCGTAGTATTAGATTTACAGCCAACACGGAACGCGCCATCTCGCTCGGGCACTACCTTCGTAGATATTGAAGCTCCTCCTCGCCGACGCGCCCGTTGTATATACGCACGTGCGGAGGACCTGCGCGGTCGCGACGGCTCCGACTCAGCGTGTGCAGGGCCGCCATACCTACATGATATGAAAGCCTCCACACAGATTGCACAGTCACAAAGATTGCTTCTTTCACCTCCTTACAGGAACGTTTGTGGACATTGATAACACCGCAGACATGAAAGCATTTGCGACCGTTACTTAATGACACGAAATTGTAATTGACTGCCTTTTTGGGAAATAAAATTGCCCAATTAGGGCATAGTGTTGCATAGGTCACACTTTAGAACACATTTTCAGTGCATTTGCAGCGGGAATAAATGCCTTCATGCCTGCAGTGTAACTGGTGGTACGCGACAGGCACTTGCTGCACCGCACCGGCGCTGACCTTCGGTCTCATACTACCCTTCCACTCACACCCCACCACTCTGTACTGCGGAGGTCTGGTTATGAGACCACTGGTCATTGGTCGTCTCCTGATGGGGTTGGTGGCTCGCCAGTTGAGGCTGTCGCCACGACACCGTAGCGAGGAATGCGTGCGCGTGGAGAGAAGCGCACATTACGTCTTCCTCTTATGACGTTGTTCGTGCGTTCACGCCCAGGACGCATGTTGCGAATTTAACCTTTGATGTAGCAATGTGATCTCGCCACCAGGTACCCGGACCAGTCACCGGTTCACTCCACGCGATGTGATCGGAAAGTCGACATTGCAGACTTCTAGGTGCCGTCGTCACGTCCGGAAGCAGATAGTCGTAGTCGCTTTGCAGATACGCATGCCACACCCCGCTCTGGCTCCGATCGTTCACGCTCAACCCTGGTCCGCATCGTTGCGTGGTTGTGATCCATGCGCGAACGTCCGCAAGGAGCACTCTGGTCTCCATCGATGCGTGCCGCCTATTGCATTCACGCCATCAAGCAGCAAAGCTACTACGGTAGACGATCGTGATTTGCTCTGACGCCGATCACGAAGGTTAAGGTTATTCCAGGTCCGGCCGGAACGGGCTTCGCATCCGTGGTTCACAGCGGGAGGTGAGTGCTTGGTGGGGAAATACGCGCTTGACAAAGGCAAGGCATGACAGACCGGTGTGGTGTCGTGTCCCTACAGGGATCACAATCACAGTCAAATCCCTTTGGCTTCAACGACCCCTCTGGTGTCCTCGAGCACATGTACTATGCCGAAATGAAGAGTGCGCTTCCGTTGGCATGCCCGTGTGTCTTGCTACGCAAAGACTCAAGCCCTCACGAGGCTAGCACTGTCATTTCCGATTTGAGAACGGAAGATTGCCGGGTGCACCAACTCCTTCACAGGCATCGACGACGTCAGCATATTTTGGATGGTGGCGGCTACTTCTGTCTCTACGCCATCTGTGGTCCCTGTCGAGTGCGGATGACTCAGGAAGGCGGGTCGTAAAGGTGTCGCGAACGGACACTCAATGGCGTGCGCACGAGTTTCAAGCATGACGGCGCAAAACATACCGGTCAAATTCACTAGCGCGACGGACATTGCCCTCATAATGAGATACATCCATTGCTGGCCACCACTCGCGGCGCTTACCTGACACGAGTTTGTTCAACGTTTTCTGGACAAGTCTCGTTGCATGGCAAGATATCGGAAGCCCTTCGCGGTCTCTATGAAACATGTGTGGGCCGCATAAGAGGACGACTGCACCGCAAGCAGTTCAGACAGCGTACCCCCTCGTCCAAGCTCTAGCATCCTCGGTCAGCAATCCATAGCAACTTTCTCGATCTGGGCTGTTCACTAATTTCGCCCTCCAGCAGTCCACAATGAATACTGCAGTGTGCAATTGGGAAAACTGCGGCCTATTCCTCGACGATGAGACCGCCGGCGGTTGTACTCGCCATCTCAAACAAGTTCACGTGCATGACTGGGACAATGCGGCCACTATAGACTGCAGATGGACGCAGCCCCCCCAGCTTCAAGCTGGCATCGTACCGCCGCAGATCTACTGCAACAGGCGGATCAAGTGCGTTAACTTGGGGAAACATATCGCCGCTGTGCACCTCCGATCGCTGAGAGTTGCTTGCTCGATATGCGGCCAAGGGTTCTCGAGAAGCGATGCATTCAGAAGACACCAGCGGCAGAATTGTCCCGGCCCCAACCAGGACATGCAGGCCGGCGGAGGTAAGCACCTCTTCCATTGTGGCTATCCTAAGGCTCACACGCACTCTATTGAACACAGCCGTTTTCTAGGAGCTCTCTCATGCACTATTAGACATACAGCTGTTAGCTGGCTGGCTAGCTATTTGTCATGCTCATATTCAGCCTGCCTTGAGCTTGTGATATAGTCTCCCGAGTAGCTCCGTCTCAGTATTTCGCTTTCTACCGAGTAATTCATTATAGGCATCGACTGTCCTCGGATGCCGTCCGACGAAGGTCATTACCAATTGATAGGCCACTATAGGGTTTCTCGCAACGTCATATGCAGTGTATAACGACGCTGCGTTTACACCAGGTTCTCGTGCACCACGTTCATGAAAACCCAGTGCAGGACCATGGCTGAGCGGTCCGTAGTTCCGTAGGCAACATCAATATAAGCAGATTCTAACTGAGTATTGGCACGTCCAGTTGTTACGGCCACGGCTCGGCCACTACCGCGCCTGCACGTAGTCATCGAGCTTTAGCAGCAGACAGACGGTCTCTGTGGCAAGCTCGAACGCGCTCGTCGAAACTAGCAGTGGCTGCACAACATCTTCGCTGAACACATCAGAGACCAGTCCCTGTATAGAAGTCAGTCAGCAATTAACAGCGATACGTCATATTGTTTTCCAACCTTGCGCATATCTATGCCAGCATTTCGCTCTCCACGTGCATGACGGTTTCGCAGCTCAGTGAGGATGCTGATGGCGTTCAGGCCGGCGTTCTCTGCGAGTGTGATCGGTATCACCTCCAGCGCGTCGGCGTATGCTTGAAAGCAGTATGCCTGGGATCCCTTCAGTGAGCGCCCGTGCGCAGAGAGCATACGCGAGACGTCCACTTCGGGCGCGCCGCCCCCCGCGATAAGCGCGCTTTACGTTATCGGTTAATCGGAATGTACGGACGATAAAAAGAACCGGCGTGCGCTCACCGTTTCTTGATGAGACACCGCATGACACACAGCGCGTCGTGCAGGCTCCGTTCGACCTCGTCGACGATAAGGCTATTTGGGCCCATCGCTACGATGCTGACGGTGCGCCCCATATTCGCAATACCGCTGATCTTCACGTATTTCGAGCCGTACTGGCTCACCTCCTCCACAATATCCGCCCTGCCGAGCTTCTCGCTCGAGAACGCCTCAATGTCTGACACGGGCGTGCACCGCAGCGTTTTGCTAAGGAACGCGACTTCCTCGCGCTCGACGTCCTTCACGATGAGAATGTTGAGCCGCGCAAGGAGATGCAACGCGAGCTCGTCGACAGCGTCGCGCAGGATAGACTTTTGGATGAGGAGGACGTTGCAGTCTGATTTCTTGATTTTTGAGCAGAGGGAAAGGATGTATTTGCGTTGTTCCTGGGCAACCTTGTCCATTTGGCGGTAGTTGGCTATCACTACAGTGTTGTCCATCTATATTATGACCGACTCGCATCAGATACAGCATCAGGTCTAGCGGAAAATGAAAACAATTACGTCAGGCTTGGGGGCGCTCAATTGAAATTGTATAAGGCCAATTTTGGCGGACTCCATTCGGCTAGGGCCTCCAGCGCTGGTGATGGCATTCTGGTGCAGCACAAGACCTTCGGTGATCAATGCGGTATCCTCGATGGTACCTCCGGTTCTCTTGATAATCCGGATATCACGGAGATCGACATTTAATGACGCTGTATCAGTTATGCGCATCACGGCGTCCACTGCGATTGGCGCCAGAGTGTTCGAATACGTTGAGATGATCTAATAAGACGGTGAGATCCCCGAACGACTCGGACACATTCAATATTACCTTCGAATTAAGGGACGTGGCCGCAGCCTTGATGAGGACCGCGCGGTCATCGAGGCTGACAGGCGTTGAGATTTCAGTGAGATACTCGACCGCCTTTGCAGAAGCCTGCATGAAGGAGTCTGCGATGATACTCGGGTGAAAACCCTTGACAAGCATTCTCTCAGCCGCGCTGAGGAGGCTACCCGCAAGCACGACAACGGTGGTCGTGCCATCGCCGGCCTCCACATCTTGTGCAATGGACATTTCTACCAGCTGATGTACTTTCAATTAACAAAGAGATACCATAGAATCGACACCTACCATCTTGGCTGCGGGATGCAGTGCCTGGAGGCTCTTCATAATTGTGGCGCCGTCATTGGTGATGATGAGCTCGCCTTTGGAAGTTTGAATCTTCCGGAAACATTCAGTCTATACACTCATGATGAATCAATCAGATTGTAACGTACCATTTTGTCCATTCCTTTCGGCCCGAGGGAGGTCTGGATGGTGTCACTGATTGCTTGAAAACGGCACGCTATGGTTCAGGTCGCAAATGACCAAGATGAGACGGTTACCTTTCGCAGCAGTCATATTGGATAAGCGCACATCAGTTCCTTTGCTCTGAAGCAGGTGCTATGAGAATGCAGTAATAGTTCAAGAGAGTGAATGAGTACCTTGCTCTGAAATGCAGCGTTGCCAGCAAAGGGCTGCGACGATATCGCGGAAGTTGGAGGAGGAGGAGAAACTACTGATGCCATGCTTTGTTGGGGTGTTTTTTTCGGAAGGAGCCAGGTATCAGAACTACCGGGATCGCTGTCGTTGCAAACTGGAATCAGCGCTCAGCCACAGCTTCGACACCGATGTCATGTCACGTGTAACGGGTGATGTCACCCATACGGCGAATGTAACGAGCCTCCACTGCTTTCAGACCTTCCTCGCGCGGTATATAAATAAATGTACCAAAAAAAAAAACCTTCCTCTATTTCTCGTATTCTGCAAACGACTGTACGAATGCAATCAATTAAATAACTGCTGGCGCATGCCACCTTGCACGATCTCGCAAGATCACGATGGCCCGAGTTGTGCGTCTTCCTTATCCGCAGTGTTGGTCACAGTCTGATGTTCGAAGCTTGCGTTCATATTGAATGGTATGCTTGATTCTCTTTCTACCTATGGTGGCTTTGGGAACGAGGGAATTTAACGTGGCCAGGCCTCACGTAGTTTTGATGATCAAATCAACCATGACATCGATGTTTTTTTGCTTTGCACTCAGGTCTAACAACGAGTTCCTTGGTCCGGATCGCTATCGATATACGGAGTGGTAGACATGCATGCGACATCCGACCACATTACCATGATCGCATGATCACAACCCAAAAGGTACGATATATCTGCCGTATGGATTGATTGCTTTCGAAATGGTAGGTACGGATAGATGTGCGTAATCCCAGGCGGTTGTGGTCGGAATGTTTGAGGGTGGAAGCAGAATGACCCACACACGGATGTTACGATGCGATAACACTTCCGCACACACATGTTTCTGTCGCACGAATGGTGCAGGGTTGGATGTTCGTGACCTGGCCATCTATGACAGGACCCGAGTAGGTTTTCGGGCATGCATTTGGGGACACCATGGTGCTTGCTGTTGCACGAACGTGAGAGTCTCATATGGTGTCTCCCTCCTCAGTCGACATCATATTGAGTGGCTGGATGAGCATGGCGTCCAAGATTTGGTAGAAATGCGATGGAGGAGTGGTGGATATTAAAATTTATTTGCTTACGCCATAGCTCCGTCAATTAACCTGTTAATTTGAAAGGCTGAAGGATCATGCTCTCTTCCAGTTGGCTGGTGTCTGTCGGCGTCCATATACTGTGCTTGTAACATTACATATATTTTACGTTCCAACAGATGGACCTCGGACTGATATCATGGCATGCCAAGCGCCCGTGGTGGATTGTGAGGCACAGTGGCCATGGACAGCAGCACATCGAGCGGACATAGCTCATGATGCACAGGTTTATGGACTCATCGCAAGCAATGAGATATACGGCAAACTTAATCATGGTGTCTATTGCCTGCAACATGAATGGTATAAGAGTTTCTGCCTTGCACGGAGTTCAGCCAGACCACCAGCCTCTTACAGGAATTTCAGCATTCGCAGTACGTCATAGTACCTTATCTCTAAGTTAAGCTGATGAACCTCTGCATAATCCAGTTGTCATTCTACTTTCAAACGATGGAAGGGACACCTCAGGCTTGCCAATGGAACAGATGTGGCATTCACCTTCAAGACACCACCGCTGACGGTTGCACTCGCCATCTGAAAGACTTTCATTTGCATCCTTGGAGTGCTACCATGATGACAAGGTGCCAGTGGACCATCTATCGTCCAGATCCTCCCCCTGGCATCCAGCCTCCACCGCACCACAACATATGTGACGGGAGGATTGTCACGGTTTTACCTGACAAATTCATTATAGGAACAAATGCTATTAAGGAGCATATCATTTTTCATCATTTCTCGTCGCACAAGAAGTCACGTGACCTAACAAGATAAGATAACGAGGCATCCAGTCACATGACCTCAGATCTCTCTTGGCATTGTCACATGACACCGAACTCCTCGGCATGGCATCATATGTCGCAATTGCCATGACACCATATTGCATGCTCAAGAGGAGCTCTGTCTCCGTGGGTTATTATTAGGCAGCCAATCAGGATAATTGGGACATGTCGTACGATTGTAGCACTGACCAGTAGAATAGCATGTGACTCGCTTAGGTAGTACTGTACAGTAGCATAGCAATCATGTATATAAGGACCAGCGAGATGAGGAGGAGACCTCAGTCTTATTCTCCTTCGTCCTCCACTACCATCACAGAGGGGTCTTACCAGACACTTTCAGTGTGCTATACATCTCATTGCATTCTCACTTGTGTGATAGCACCTCTAGCCTCACCAGTAAGTCTTGCTCTGCGACCAGCTACTAGGCCTCATCAGTGGGCACGTCGTATCACCACAGCTCGTCGCTGTAGGCTCTCAGCCAGGAGACCCTCAAGGGGACTCCTTATTTTGGTTGTTTATCTTTGTCATCGGCATGCCGTGACATTAGAATAAGACTGACCTTTTACGCCCCTACCAAGTGTCTAACACTGGTAGCTGCACATTTTCACTCAGAGACACTCCGGCCCAGGGCAGGCCTATTTCCACATCACTTCCCTCATACACTTCCTCTGCGTCTCTACCGCCTAAGCCGCTTCCTTCCTTCAAAAGGAACAGCGCTGCACCACGAACCATCAATGGTATCGTTCCACCCAACGGATGCTACCATCCCTATCAAAGGAAACCCAGAGTCCACCGTCTGACTCAGGGCAATCTCGTCCAGGTGCAGCCCCCCAAGCCGGCTCACAAGGCATTACAGCAGAGCGTCGCTGACAGGAGCGCAAGGTTAGCCTTTGGCTCGAAGACATTCCAAAGGAGATGCTTACCCCGTCCATTCCACTTCAACCTCCTCATCCTATGCTACATTCCCCGCCATCGACATCCTCAATTTCGCGCTCTCAAAGAGCTACCATCCTCGTGGAATTTACGAAAATCCCAAAGGTACTCTCCCTGAGAACATCGCACTGACTGTGTACGCTACCATTCAGCGATACAAAGTCTTGCAGCAGCCCCACATCGCGGCCAAGCTCACAGAGGAGCAGTTGAAGTGCCGAGATAGAATTCTTCGACACCTATCAGTTATAAACGAGCGCATCGGAGCAGGGCACGATTTCACGTTCGTCGATAGGTGCATCGCTATCAAGCTTTGCATAGGACTAGGAAAGATTTCCTTCAAGGGAATCAATAAGGAACAGGAGCGCGTAGGCAAGGAGATAGTAAAGTTTGAGAAGGAGTCGTGCTTCTGGCCTTACTAGGACCAGTAATATTTTTGTACCACCATATCAGCAGTTATATGCCCCAGTATCAAGTCAGTTTTGTATTCAGAAACTACGTGGTCGAGTACTACATCACTGACCTCTATCATCATCTGGTGTGCACGGGATACTTCATCTATCAACCCCTGCTATCGGAGCGTTCCATCCCGCTCTATCACTATCCGGTTGACATCGAACGTCGAGTCATCCTGTACGCACCCTTTCGATTCATCGAAACAGACATCAAGATCATCAATCCAATTCGCGAGTGGATAGAAAACCGTTACTGGGAACGTCTTGCTCAGTTGTATCAAGAAGACGAAGAACTCTTCTGGACAAACTGGTACAGAGACTTACCAGAACAAAGACACCCTCGCCCAACAAGGCTAGAAGAAGCTGCAGCATGAAGAAATCGTGTCATCGAACTAGCACAATTACCGGGAGCCAATAACTAGCCCCAGTAAAAGCTCACCATTTCAAACACACTCTCCGCCGCCTCTTTCCCACTATCTTCAACATCGATTCCCATGTCTCAATACAATCTTGGAGGCATTGCGTTCCCAGGAGGACACACCACTAGTGAACCTTCAGAACCCTGGAGGAGCAATGCCCCCTCCACACCATCGGAAGCAGGACCAGCTGCCCCTGCAGATGAACCCCATACCAGCAGCACACCCAAGGCATCGGGAGTAGTCAGAAACCCATCGCCCACCACCCTGCCAGCATTTTCCACACCTCAGACTTGGGAATGGCAGGGAGTTCCTTATGCAACCATCGAGGAAGCCGCCAATGCCGCCGCACCCAACACCATACCAAACGACGTTAAGGAATGGGTAATGAACGTGGTACGATCATTCATCATGAGAGACGTTATAAGCTCGTACGAAGCCTTACGTCAAAAGATGGATGAGCACCACGAGCGCACGGTGGCCTCGTTGGAAGATGAAGTGATGGCTCATATCCACGTCAAAATAATGGCAGTAGAAATACGAGATCAACTAAGGACCGCAAGAGCCCAGATCGGCACCCTCTCCGCCGACAGTGAACGGCTCATCAAGTCAAATAACAGTCTGATGCTCGAAGCCCAAGCAATTCACAAGGACTTCGAAGATTACAAAGATGAAGTAAAGGGTCAGATGGATGCCCTTTACGGCAACATGGTCGCCCTGAAGGAGGCACAGGAGAAGACCACCACTTACATCATTGGCTTAGAGTCCCGACTCAACAATGCCATCATTAATGTGCCCTCCACAGGTATCCAACAACCGGCTGGCCAATCCAGTCCATCGCCTCACCGAATTAAGCTCCCCGATCCTCCCAAGTATTCGGGAAGGAAGTCGTCGGAAAACTTTGAAACTTGGTTCATGAACCTGCTTATCTGGCTCGATTATAATCATTTCACGGACGACAAGGACAAAATTCGGCAAGCCAACGCACATCTGGAAGGCGGAGCTGCTCTATACATGAACGAGTATGCAATCAAGCTCGCCTCCAGACAAGATGTTGGTACATGGGCAGAATACACCAGGAAACTGGAAATGGCATATAAGATGCTTGACCCCAAGCGCACGGCACAGGCAATGCTAGATGCACACTGCGCAATCCGCCACAAGACGATGATTGCCTTCGCAGAGAATTTCAGGGCCTACGCCCCCGAATCAGGATACTCTGATGAAGATCTAATTGTCAAAATCAGGGAACAACGGTCAAGCCACATTCAGACGGTCATGTCAGTAACAGAGACTTTGCACCCCTCGAAGATTCCAACCACCTGGATGGACTATCTCGAGTTCTGCTTGGAGATTGAAATCAAACATCTTCAACAAATTTCAGGCAACAA